GATGAGCGAGGAGAGAGAAGGAGAGAGAGAAGAGAGACGGAGATGAGAAGAGAGAGAGAGCAGAAGATGGGGAGAGGGAGAGACGAGAGATGATGGAGAGAGAGGAGAGAGAGAGAGAGAGAGAAGAGAGAGAGAGAGAGAGAAGAGAGAATGCGAGATAGCTGGAGAGAGTGAGATTGCGGCAGATGAGAGCAATGATAGAGAGAGAGGCATAGAAGAAAAATGCCGAGAGGAGCGGGAAGGTGGGGGGAGAGAGGCGAGAGCGAGGCGAGGGGAGGTTGGGAGAGAGACAGAAGAGAGAGCGGTGAGATGGGGAGCGAGAACGGTAACCCTCTCGTTCGTTTGTTCTCTCCGTAGAGAAGCTGCGTTTTCCGGATGCATTGGCGACGTAGTCGGCGATGATGCGGGCGCTCATCTCGGGCCTGCTAGCTGACCCGGAACCAGCGTCTCGTCGGCTATGAGCAGCTCTGCCAGCAGCGTCTCTTCCGCTCAGTCGACTTCGGACAGCATCCGTGGGGAGTGAGTATACGCCGATCGCGCCGTCCGCGGCAGTGGGACGCCAGGCAGTAGCTCCCCCTGGTGTTGCTGTCGGGTCCGGTACCTTTCCCGCCGGTAATTGACGCGGTGTTAGGCGTTCGTGGGGAGGAAGAAGGATGTTTATCCGCGTTCCTCGAAGGTACCAGCATATTTCTGTTCCACATTTTTTAGAGAGTCGAGGGGGTTTTATTCATGTCCCTCGGAGAGTACGCGTGGCGTTTTTTTCTGCATACCTGAAATCTGGTTTGCGTTTCTTCTGCGATCCTGGAGCGTAGCTTTCACACTTTTATTCCATGTTTACCGGACCAGTCACACCGCGAATTTTTTCCTCCCAAGATTTTATTCGTCCTTCGAGGTCTCTCCACCATAGCCCGCCCGCCCGGCCGCGGCTTCTTAGCCTCTCACCCTGGGACGGCTTCTCAATTGACGGATGCTCTCGTCTTAGCCGTTGCCGCCGTTTGTTCCGATCGTGAAGGGTCAGGACGACACGTTCCAACTTTGACGAGTTTGAGCGAGAGGCGCCGCGGCCGTGCCTCGACGACTACGCGTGCGCGCCGAGGATTCGTCGGCAAGCGACCTACCGTTCGTCGGGTTCACCTACACGAAGAGCGTGCACTCGGACAGGTAGGTCTCCCGTGAGAGAGTGAGAGAGCTGAGAGAGGAGAGAGAGAGAGAGATGAGAGCGAGAGAGAGAGAGAGAGTAAGAGATAGAGAGGAGAGTAAGAGATTGAGGGAGATCCCTGTCCCCCCTTGCTGGACCATGGTCGAGCTGTCTGTGCAGGTGGGGTGAAGCGCATTTTCTGTTTCTCGGATGTCGTTGCCTGGCGGTGTGCGTATGTGATCGGAGCCGCGCGTTTTTTTTCTCGCCGAGCGCTGCGCGTCCGAAGTCGGCAGGACTCCGTGCGCCGGAATGTCCTATCGCAGCCGCGATGGCTAGCTCATCAAGCCTCGGATAGTCAGATTATGAAACTTTTGAACTTTTGAAACTTTGGAATCCGATTGCGAGCGGGGAAGACTTTTGCGGCATCTGCGTGGATGTGGACGACGCGATTCACTCACCGGGCATTCTGCCATGTGTTGTTTTCTCGGCTTCGGCAGGTTCGCCTCAAAAGTCAAGAGTCGTGCGATTCGCCGATATTAAAGTCTCATCGACGAGAAACTGCCGAATGAAGAACGTTGAACTCCAGAGGGCGCTACAAAAGGTACCGCACGTGTGCGGAGATTTCTCTGCTCGCCCACAATTCCACACATTGTGTTGTCATGCCTAATTGTTCATTAATTTAATTCATTATAATTAATTCATTAATTTATCGTAAAATAACACCTAATTAATTGATATTGATTTATTGTTAAATTGTTTTTGATTGATATTAATAACAACTTAAATAATTAATGAATGAACAAATTCCCTGATGCTCGTGTCCATATCCGTGGCGGCAGGTGCACAAGCTGGAGACGATAGAAGGGAGCAGCGGCAGGAGCTAGACAAGGTCAAAAAGGTCACTCAAAGGAGATGAAGGAAGCGCTGAGCAAGCGGAGGCTGAGCGTGACATCATGAGCGTGGCATGGCCAAGTACATCACAGAGCGGCAAACGTAGGCATCACCGCTGAACTTCATCTCATCTGTCACATCTTCACCTTGCTCATCCTCATCCCTACTGCATCCTCATCTGTCAGCATCTTCACCCGTAATTCTCATCCCTACTGCATCCTCATCTGTCAGCATCTTCACCTGTCATCCTCATCCCATACTGCATCCTCATCTTCAGCATACTACCCGTCATCTCATCCTACTGCATCCTCATCCTACTGCATTCTCATACTGTCAGCATCTTTCACCTGTCATCCTCATCCCTACTGCATTCCTCAATCTGTCAAGATCTTCACCGTCATTCTTATCCCTACTGCATCCTCTTCTGTCAGCATCCTTCACTGTCATCCTCATCCCCCTACTGCATCCTCATCTGTCAGCATATTCACCTGTCATCCTCATCCCTACTGCATCCTCATCTGTCAGCATCTTCACTCGTCATCATCCTCATCCTCATCATCATCCTCTCCCTTTGTCCCTAGTTCCCATTGCTTGCAGACTTGATAGCATTGCTCCTACCCTGCCCCCTTCTTTTTTCTCTATCTCTCTGTCCCTTCTTTTATTCTCGCTCCTTCTCTCTCTCCCTTCTCTCTATCTTTTCTCTCTTCTCTATCTCTCTCTCGTATTGCCACAACGTGGGAAGGATATCCTTTAACGCCGTTCTTCATCTCTCTCTCCCTCTCAGAGTCTTCTTATCACCTCTCTCTCATACATACAACATGTGAGAACGCGCGTCTCTATTCTTTCCTCTCTCTCTCCTTCTCTCCTCGAGCAGACGCTGCGGGCGTCGATGGCGGACACGTACAAGCAGGAGGAGGCCGTCATGGAAAGAGAAGGCGCTGAGGGCTGCTGCAGGAGGAGATACGCGGAGAAGCACCAGATGCAGATCGAGCCTCTCGCAGCAGCAGCTCAGGTACGCGCCCCGCTGCTGACCTCTATCTACGATTTCTATTACCTCTGTGATTTGTGCCACTTCTACGGTCTCTATGATCTATATGATCTTATATGACCTGTACGATTTCTATGATCTCAGTGACCTCTATGACCTCTAAAATCTTTGTGATCTGTATGGCCTCTTGCTCTCTGATGCGCGCCTCTGTTGCCGATGAGATGTTGACTCGATCTCTGACCTCATCTCGTGGTGGTCAGTGTTGGCAAAAAACCTGTCAATGGTATCTTGTCTCAGTTGATTAAGTTAAAAACAACCATTCCCTAATTATCCTCTAACCCCTTATTCCCATTATCCCCTGATCCTCCCAATTCCCATATCCACCTCATTCCCTAATCCCATTATACCCTTATCTGCCTGACCTCTATATTTCTATTATCCTTTTATCCCATCTTCGCTGTTACTCACACGTGACGTGTCTCGTTGCTGTGTAGAGATGAGGTGGAACGCTGAAGGGGGAGGTGGTGGAGATCGAGGAGGAGCGCGGTACCGCGCGGTGAGGGGGAGAAGGAGAAGGCCGAGGGAGAGACTGAGAGAGCCAGCGCTCCTGGCATCAAGCAGCTGAGGGCAAGATCGTCGACATGAAGGAAAAATCGAGCGAGTAACGCCACCCCTGCACGAACTTCTATACTGTATACTACTGTATACATATATATATATATACCTATACATGTATACAAGTAAGGCCAAAGTAAGGACTGTGCAACCTCATACTCACAGTGTGCCAAATTAACGGGAGTCGGAGTCAAATACTCCCTGATTTACTGGTCGGACTCCCTGATTTGACACATGCAGGAGTCCGTGTGACTCCAGTCCCTGAAAATTTTGCCATACTAACTAGTTCGTTCCCAGAGCACAGGCCTCGTGGAATTACCGTATTTTTTCAGCAATGTCCAAGAAAATCTTGGCAGACGTGCAAACCGCATGATATCTTAAAATAAGCACATGCGTTATTGTTTTAATATCTTTAATTTTGAACCTCAGACTGCGGACTCCTCTGTTTGAGGGATAGGGGAGTCCGTTGGACGGCCGTGTTCGAAAGTTAAATTTCCTATACCCCTGTACCTCATATATCTATTATATATATATATATATTAGTTGATGTCACGATCATCGGTTGAACAGTTGGCTTCGAACAAGGCTTGGTTATCAAATCCAATAATCGATTTCATCGGAAAAAAAAAAAAAATGTTGAAATAAATGTAAAAACTTTGAACAAGAAAACTTGGGAAAAGATGGATGCGAATCAGAGATATCATCGCTACTATACAAGTTATCCTTTATTAACATACATGTATTATACACACAGTAGTAAACAGTACGTGCAAAACAAACAGTAAACAGGGCTAAACAAGCACATAAATGCACACACGTACATGCACACGACGTTACGCACACGCAGGCATTCAACACCCCAAGTAGCTCTAGTACTATAGCCCGCGTACAGTTGCCGCAGGGGCCTGCGGCAACTGTCCGCGGGCTATAGTACTAGAGCTACACCCCAAGTAACCGATTGTAACCGATCATCTGTTACTTGGGTCCAACCGATGATCGATTACGAAATTACAACCGATTGACAACACTAATATATATATATATCAGGAATAGATAATAGGGAAGGAGTGTGACTTCAATAAACAAGGGAAATTCGTCATTTACTAGCCTTATAATACCTACGATTTACTACGCGTAACTCATCCAACTTGAGCTCAAACATTGTGGCTCGCAGGGAGATTGGACATCGACGCAACACTCGGCGAGATAACCTTTGACCCGGCATACAGCTATACATACCGGCATACAGCTGGTATGCCCCCCACGCACGCACGCCCACCGCAATCTCCCTGCGAGCCACACCGCCTCGCCGAGAGAGCAAGCTGTGGTTAGTAGCTGCCTTTTGTTTAAATTTCGGCGCAAAACGCATCGAGTTTAATTGCTGGCAGCAGAATGGAAAATCCCGGATTGCGGGTGTATACGAGGAAACGATTTTGCACGATGCTAGGCGAATGTACTGTGTACGATATTTGAGCTCAAGTTGGATGAGTTACGCGTAGTAAATCGTAGGTATTATAAGGCTAGTAAATGACGAATTTCCCTTGACAGTCTGCAGCCGGATATCCGCGCGATAGCGCGCCAACGCCGCCCTGGCGGCATTCTAACACGATTTCGCTGCCCCTATTCCATCACCTTCAACGGGTTTACATATATAAGGCAAGCAGCAAGTTCGCTGAGTTGAGCAGTTCTGCCGATTGGACGACCAATTTCACTACCCATGTAGCTTGAGATTTGCTTGAAATGCTCGTATAACTTTTTTGGCGACTCGGCGCGCTCGTTTTGCTGTAAACAACGAATTTGCACTTTCTTCTTTGTTTGTTTCTGTTGATGAGTGTAGTACATATGGCGTGCGATAGAGGGCGCAAAGAACGCCGAGATTATAGGCATAGTAGACTGGTACCCGTTCGCCACCTTTACTCCGGCATATCACTACACTCACGTAGTGTAGCGTGTGGAACTGTCGACCGGGTACCAGTCTATATGCACATGGATTGATAGCATGGCATCTTGCGTCTATGTTATAACCATGGAAAAGTTTCTTATTCTTCGTCGTTTGATTCGTTAAATAATGACGAGCCGCAACTGGCATTTTTTTCATCGGAAGGTCATCTAATTAAAAGGAAAGTCGAATTTTGTTATGGCCAGACTAACGACTATAAATAAGTATGTAACAACTAACAAGCGTAGATGCAGCTTTACAAATTAGTTTACATACCGGGCGGTGGGGGGACCGATCTATAGTCCTACGGGTCGTTGGTCCTATGGGTCGTTGGTCCTACGGGTCGTTGGTCCTACGGTTATTAGTAAGAGTGGTAGAGTGAATGACCAATTTTTTTTTAAATCACAATTTATTTTTATTTTTCTTTAATTTTTAATTGTATTTGTTTAAATTTTCTTTAAACATTTTTTTCCCCAATTTTATTATGTATGTGGCTTTTTACTATGATTGAAGTATGCACCAGACAGGAGTGGAGGAGGAAGAAGAAAATAATTCTTAAACTATTTCAGTGTCATTCACCATCGAGACCTTATCACAAAGTATTTGCATTCACCACGACAAAATTTCCTTTATGTTTTTGGTCTAGTTTCATGCACCTCAAAATAATTTAGATGTCCCCCTTGAGTGGAACGACTACACCAGTTTTAAGTAAGTGCTGTTGGTACACTACACAGGCACAGGTCCAGCTGCTGTAGTAATACCACTGTATATTTCCTTGACCAGGTATAATTATTTTTATTGTTAGTATTCATTTATTATTAGTTTAATGTGCATCAGCGTATTTATTCTGTATGTGTGCACCCGTAGGACACATTGGTCGTGGCGTCGGTAATTAAAAATTTAAAAAAAATGAGAATAACAAGAAATCATTAAAAATTTAAACTTTAAAAAAAAATAATCAAAAATTAATTAAATTTTTTTTTAAATTAAAATTGATTTAAAACAAAATTAAATTTAAAATTAAATTATTGAAAAAAGTAATTAAATTAGAAAAATTAAAAATTAAATTAACAAACATATTTCAAAGAACATCAATTACGTGTGGCTCTTGCCGCCGTGGAGCGCGTAGGACCAGCCGACTCGCTCAGGGACCAACGACCGGTAGGACCAACGACCCGTAGACCAGCGACCCGGAGGGACCAACGACCCGGTAGGACCAACACCCGGGAGGACTCAAAGAACTGTAATCGCGGTAGTCGAGTAGCCGTGTCTTTATGGCCTCGATCTTGAACGCCGACCATGCTGCGCTGTGACTAACGGTCAATACACGTCTTTATCTCTAACCTGCATAATACCGGTTTCTTTTCGGAGCTAGGTCTCCGAATCTATGATCTTGCAGATGCTAGCCTTGATCTTGCTGTGCACAGACTTGGAGCAGGCATAGCACTCATATGTACAGTCTTGGGTGTGTTAGTTTACATTACTCAATTACTATTCAATATCATAGATAGAGCGGGAAGTTGTACTTGCAAGTAGGTTGTGAGCTGATACGGCACTTGCTGTCTACTACTGATCCATAGACTTGATATAGCTAACGGTTAGTAACAGTAGATGTACTGGACCGTAAATTAACCCACTATTGAGTGATTAGCAAGCTTATCATGAATGCGCCTGCATGGCTGGTATGACAGAAAAAACGGCAGCGGCGTCAGGCTTCAGCAGCTCGATGCGGTAATATCTAGCGGTGGGTACGCGATGTCCGTCTATATAGCCATTTGTGCCTGGTGCAAGCGCAGTTTCCGAGTTAGCTGGGACAAGGTTCGGCCAGAACTCGAGAATTTCGTCAGATCGTTTTCTGTGAGCCTTCGCGTCACACAGAGCTGCGTTGCGAAGTAGAGAAATTAGATGTTTATATAACAACGTGGAACACTGTTCAGCGTCCCCAAATGTGCGTCCTGCTGTGTCCCCACTAGAAGATTCGCTGGACTGTTCGCTGGCAGCTATGGATCCGTGCGCCGGTCAATTCATTCGGCGCACGGATCCATAGCTGCCAGCGCTGCATACTGTCGTAGGACGTTCCCGCGGTCGCGTGCGCCTTGCTGCGGAACTGTGCGCAAGATCTGCGCTTAAGCGCTTTGGATCAACATCTCCTTTCGGCAACGCTTCTCTAGTATCCCGTCTCATCTGGTTTATTGAAGTCACACTCCTTCCCTATTATCTACTCCTGATATATATATATACTATACATATCTACTACTGTATACGCTGTAGATTTCGCAGTGGTATAATTTTCGCAAAATTTCGCGAACGCGTCCCCGACCGCGAAAATAACAACACGCGAATAATTCATACCAACTAATACCGAATAATTCATAATTCACCGACCGCGAAATAAGCCACTTGCGAAATTGTCTGTCAAGTCTGAGTTCGCGAAAACATCTGTACGCGAAAAATATGGCGTATACAGTATATCACCTCTCACCATGTCGTAGATGCAGGGAAGCCAGCTGAGCGGCGTGACAGACCTGCAGCAGCAGCTAGCGCGACTCACGGAGGACAGTGGACAGCGCACAAATGACCTGCAGAACAAGCTCAGCCAGGTGAGCTGCGGGGGACTCAGGGGGTCAAAGGTCAGAGGTCAGGGGTCGCCCGACGAAACGCCCGGTCTGGCTTGATGTTGGTTTGTGCTCTGGGGCATTCTATAGAAGTCAGGTTTATAGGTTTCAGAGTCATAACTGTCACTCAAGGGAAAGAGACACGAGGAGAATTTACACGTATTATTACTCAATTATTCTGAGACAGAAACCTTTGCTTTTCGGGGGATTGTCCCCAATTTGCGGTTACGTGATCGGGGATTGATCCCGATCAATCGTCGATTTGAACACCAGTGGTGCCACCTCATTGCAGTCGAGACAGAAAGCTTCGACGGTGTTTTTTTTCCGGGCTTGTTCCCCAATTTGCGGTCGCGAGCGTCGCATGACTGGAGATCCTTCCCGATTTCTCACCTCGTTGCAGTCGATGGCGACGGCGCGGGAGCTCCGCTCGCAGGCGGAGGAGATGGAGGCGAGGGCCGCCGAGTACAAGCGGCAGACGAAGAACATCAGGTCGCTGACGGAGGAGGTGCAGCGTCTGGAGAAGCTGACGGAGACGCTGACGGAGGAACTGAGGGAGAGCCGCACGAGCGAGCGCGCAGGGGGTGATGATGCTGCGGTCGCCGCCGGAGAGGACAGGACGGCAGAGTACGAGGTAGGAAGCCACATTGTTGAATATAACCCCCGTCATCTGCTGCATCATCGTCATCTCTCTCTCCTGATCGTTTTTTATTTCCTCCTCCCCATTATCATGTCCCTGAGTTCAACCCTAACTTGCCTGCTTTTAACTTCAAACCTAACCCTAACCCTTTGCCTGCTAGTAACTCCAACCCTAACCATAGCCCTGACCATCGTCCTGTGTGTAACATTGCTCTGCTTCCTTCCCCCACCTTCACCGAATTTAACCCCAACTCTTGCCTGCCTCTGACCTTGACCACCAACCCTAACTCTTGTCCGTGTATAACGTTGCTTCCTTCCCCCCACCACACAGGAGAAGATCAGGGACTTGGAGCGGCAGCTGCGGGGGGCCGACCGCCGCGAGTCGCGCCTTCTCAAGGTCAGCGCCGACCTTCAGGTCAAGGACACGCACATCCAGGAGCTCGCCGAGGCCGTCGCCACACTTGAGATACGGCTGCGTGACGAAAGGGAGAAGCCCGACCACGCGGAGGAGGAGGAGAGGAAGAGGGAGAGGGAGAGGGAGCGGAGGAAGGAACTGGAGAGCAAGCTGCAGGTGAGTGTCGGTGGAAGTGGGGGTCTCCTCCCCCGGGTCTCGGTCTCTCTCTCTCTCTCTCTCTCTCTCTCTGTCACTCTTTATCACTCTTTCTCTGTCTCATTGTTTGTCTCTCTCTCTCTCTGTGTGTGTCTCTTTCTTTCTCATTCTCTCTCTTTCTATCTCTCTTTCTCTCTCTGACTTTTTTCAATCTTCCCCCCCCCCTTCTCTCTCTCATGCCTCGTTACCACACTTCCCTCTCTCGCACCCATCCAGGACATGGAGCAGCAGCTGAAGCTGACCACCAACCAGAAGACGCGTCTGCAGGAGAGCGTCGACCGACTAGAGGCCTCCACTGCCGCAGCCGAGCACCGCCAGGGGGCGCTGCCACCAGTGTCATCGTCGCCGCAGCAGCAGAGGCGTCGTAGCATGACGCGGGTGGGCTCGAGGAGCAAGATGACGGACGAGGAGTACAATGCGCACGTCGAGGACTGCAAGGAGTGCAGGTGAGGGAGAGACGAGTCGGTCGCCATGGAAACGCGCGAGTCGGTCATCGCGGCAACACGTTTGTTTCGAAGGGAAACTATAGGAACTTGCACTGGCCTCCGTCGGTCATTCTTGGAGTTTCGTTGGTCGATCGACGTTAAAAATCCGATGTGTATTTTTGTCACCAGGCGGCGCCATGACGAGAAACTCGCCGACCTGAAACAAGAGAACTACTACCTGCAGACGACCGTCGGAAAGCTGGAGAAAGAGTTGGACAAAGTGGGAGCCGCGCGTGACGCGGTGAAAATGAAGGTGGGCTATCACACACGCGGCGATAGATTAGATAGGGAGAGAACGGAGGGAGATGGAGGGAAGGCGAGACAGAGAGAGAGAGAGATAGGGAGAGAGGGAGAGTGAGAAATTTAGAGTAAGAGAGAGAGGGGAGAGAGTGAAAGAGCGAACAAGAGAGAGAAAGAGAGCGAGAGAGAGAGAGGGATCATTTTAAGGATACTGTTAGGGTTACGGACAGGTAACACTGTAAAGGGCATTGCAACATAACTGCTCATCAAATTCAATCAAACTCATATCCATTACATGAGAGAGATGTCTCTCCACGCTCTCGATGGGAAAAAAATTCATCGCTAATTAAGTGACGACAAAAATTCGTGAATTCATACAAAAAATTATTTTTTTGTTATTTCTCAGAAACAGCAGAGTTGGAACCTAAACTTTTAACCATAAGTTGTTCATAATATAAACTAAAAAAGTGTCCCTGGAATTTTTTTTAAATGCTTTAATTTAGGAAATAAGTTGAAAAGATGTATGAAAATTTGTAGTGATTTTCAAAACGCAACAATTTCGTAAACAAACAGCCATAACTTATAAAATATAATATTTAAAAAAAATTCCAGCTACCCTTCCTTTGATATGTTACCATTGAAACGTAACAAACGTTTTTGGAATCGGAGTTGTGAGTTTTGAGAAATAGCGTTTGAAAAATCAGCAACTTCAGCATTTCTAACAATGGAGATATTAGCACTTTTCTAAATTTCCCATGATTGAACGCCTGTGTTAAGAATTGACTGATGCAGGGTCCACAGGGTCTCCAACCATTCCGCATTCTGCGGAATCATTACGATTTCTAGGCTTAATTTCCGCACTCCGCAGCGGCAAGGTTATATTCCTCATTTCAGTTGCACTGATTGTTCGCATTGTTCGCTTGGACACATTGTTTTTTTTTCAGCCGGTGCCTGGCACTGGCCACGAGTTTATTAATAGCCGTCACTGCGCGAGTCGTTTCTTGGAAATGCACGCTCTGCCATTAGTTTTGCACCCACCCTACCATCGCTCAGTGTTATAATGTGTTTCTATGCATTTTGTATCTGCCATGTCTACGGTAAATGGAACAGCCTAGGGAGACAGGCGCTGTCTGCAAGGTGTCGCGTAGTTTGTCTGCTAATCAGATTAACACGTGGGGAGAATGGCGTCCAATTGCCATTGCCATCCAAAAAACCCGACTTTTACAGAAATTCAGGAACGAATATACACAGATGTGGCCTGTACTTGTGAAGTCAAAACTCAGTGTTATAATCATGGCTATTGCATGGTATGCAAGACAGACTTTCAAGTGGGGCACGGAGGAAGGGGTGACTGCCAAAGGCATATAGTCTCTCAACAGCATAAGTGCTATGCGGGTGCAGTGGAATCTACACCCAATATATCAAGCTTCTTTGCAGCAGATAGAGAATTGTCTGTCTTCACGCAGAAGTGAGATTTACGGATTATTTAATTGAACACAATGTGCCTTTGAGGGCGGCAGACCATGCAAATGAACCTCTTCAAGAAAATGTTTCCAGACTCACAAATAGCCAAAAAGTATGGTTGCAAACATACAAAAACACGTGAAATTGTGAGAAATTGCAATTCTTACCTGTGTTTTTATGCTATTCTTACCTATGTATTATTACTATAGTAACCTAACTGTGTATGCTCTCTGAAAGTTATGAAAACTGTTTTGAATCCTAACTTGTAGGGTTAAGTCTAGGGTTGAGCTAGTGTCATCAGACATGAGAATATGGCCCACAGTATGCCTCAGATTGCAGGAAAATGGCTTAAATATTTAAAAATTTTCTGGGGGGCATGCCCCCACACCCCCCTAGCACTGGCATGCCTACGATACACGGGCCTGCCTGCGGCAGCCAAGGTTAATTCCCCCCCCCCTGCTGTCCATCAATTTCATTCCGCATTTGGAGTTCACAGGGTTGGAGACCCTGCAGGGATTTGGAACTGTTTGGGAGGCTATACATACATAATTTCTACATATACGTCATAGCTGCCCATGGGTTCGATCTATCAAATAAAGTTGGTATTGAAATTTCGACCGAAAATCACATCCCAACCCTAACAGTATCCTTAAACTTATGACATGCATGCATAATAATAACATTGCTATCCATTCTAGTAACTACAGTCGCACTCATATAAAATATTCAAATCCATAAAAAATCCATATAACAAATTAAATAATCCAAATAAATAAATCAAATTTATATAGCAATAAAATTCGTACTCGCTCCCCCGTCAAAAACCACCCTTCACCTACTCGCTCGTAACCCCACCCCAGCCCCCCATCCGCGACTTGACAGTTGCCGTGGTTACAGGCTCAGCTGGAGGAACAGACACGCAGCCTCCGCTCGCAGCTGGAGGAGGCGAGGAAGCAGGGGCAGGAGAGCGCGATCGCTGTGGCGAGGCTCGCGGCGTCGGACAGGAGCGAGAGGGAGAAGGTCGCGCGCATGGAGGAGGAACTGGTAGAGGTGCAGCGAGAGGCAGAGCACTACGTCACCAAGATAGAGGTAAGGAGAGAGGAGGGAGAAGGAGGCAGGGGTAGGGGGAGAGGAGGGGAGAAAGTCGTGTGCATGGAGGAGGAACTGGTGGAGTTGCAGCGAGAGGCAGAGCACTATGTCACCAAGATAGAGGCGAGGGGAGAGGAGGAGGGCGCGGGCAGCCTGATAGGAAGAAAGCAGAACATAGGAAAGGAAATGGAGCAGAAAAAGGGTGGAGTAGAGAGCACAGAGCGGAGCCAGGGGGGAACTCACGACTTCACTTGCAAAGTTAACGGCATCCAAGACTTACGACGTCACAATTACCTACGATGTTTCTAACAGCGTGCCCTGGGAGGGAAGAAGGGAGGGAGGGAGGGAGAATGGAGGAAGAGGTGAATATCCACTCTATTACGTAACTCTTACGCTCGCGGCACGTGCGTCTTTTGCAGGAGATGAGCTCGAAGACGGAGCAGAAGAAGCAGGAAGCCAGCGCGAGCACGGGGGAGCTGCGCATGCTGAGGAGGCAGCTACAAGAGGCTGCGGCGACGAGCGAGAGACTCACGTCTGAGATGCAGGTGAGCAGGAGAGAGAGAGGGGGATGGGAAGGGGAAAGAGAGAGAGAGAGAGAGAGAGAGAGAGAGAGAGAGAGAGAGAGAGAGAGAGAGAGAGAGAGAGAGAGAGAGAGG